AAGGGAGAAAGAAGCACAGCAGCGACTTACGGGTTTGATGTCGTTGTTCAGCGAGGCCATGAAGTCCAGTCTGCTGACCTGCAGCTTCTCTGCCGTCTCTATGTTCACCTCCACCGTGTTGCTGGCCTACGACAAACAACCACAACAACAAGAAGCTCAATTACTGAGATGCCTTGGATGAACTCTCTGCCCCTGCCCCTCACATGAAGCACTGCACATTCAGACGGCGCGATGTGTCGGGAGACAATGTGCTCCCTCAGAGCAGGAAAGGTCAGACGTGGCGAGGACGGGAGGGAGGAATAAGTGCTCAGAGGAGTGAAGAGGAACGTCACGGCCATCAGACATGTGTACGGGCCTTGTCCGTCATTTATCATCGCCCTCCAATATCTGCTGCTCCGTGTGTCCGGGTGTGTGCGGGGCCAGAACGCTTAACAGATGGGAACTCCGCCTTATCTGTGGCCGCTACTGAGCTGTGCAGATTTGAGGCAATGCACCTGATAAAACACTTAACTGAGGGGCAAATGCACACATATGCACACCTGGACTCGGTAGCCAAACCGTCCTCACCTGGGTGGTTGCCTTAACTGGCACCATACAGCTGTGAACTGTGCCCACCAGGTGTGTGGCCCGCAACCCAAAGCCAGGAACACATGACACTACTGCTGTCAGTGCTTTAGAAAAACGTGCGTATTTGCATCGCACGGATCTAACTTACTGCTTTTGTTTTGGGATTCAGGAGCCCTTTTCCGACATTTCTGGGATGTGCAACGTTCAATCATCTGTTTAAGTTCTTTATTTCAAACATACGTCGCTTTAACGTGATTGCTTCATTACGACATACCCACAGACTTGACACAATAATGCACGAATAAACAAAATTTAAACTAATACAAGCTGATCAACTCTCTTAAATAACTCATAAGCGACCTCAACACTTCAAATTCAGTCCATGTGTGATGATAATCTAACTTGTGCTTTACCAACAGAAAAAAATAAATATCCCCCACAACTGATAAATTGTGATTCATCCGGTCTCCACGTTGGGGATAAATTATAATTTAAAATGATTAATGTAATTACTGCTGCCGTCCAATGCTGCAGGTATTCAATATATTTAGAGGAAATACTAACAAACAACCAGAAGCAACGAACTAAGGTTCAGCTCCTGTTAGTGTTTTGTGAATTTGCATTTGGTGAATCTTATTAATTTGCCTTGTTTGCTCTTTAATGTATTAAAGTTGTATTTTTATGGACATTTCAGTTTGCATTAGGTGTGAAACTGTGGGACAAAGAGAAAGACGTGACACAAACTGTGTCTTCTGCAGCTATTTGTGACGTTTCTGGATTAATATTAGAGCTGAAATGTGTAAAACGTCTTTCTAAAATCACTTCAAACAACTCTAAGCACAACTCTTGAGCATCCATTAATGTGACTGTAGTTCAGACTTTGTTGAAAGTGAACAGGGAGCTCATTCAGAAATAAAGCCGCCATGTTCACGTGCTGCATGTGCAAAAGGGGCTAATGAGTCAATTAACTGAATAAATTCTGACATTGAGGGAGTAAAAATGTATTGTTTCCTACTCTTTATTCACTGTAAATGAATATAATTTGCACTATCCAGACAAAACAAGCAATCTGAAGGCACCAACTTTACTCTGAGAGATTATTACAAGCATATTTTGCAAACTATAAAACAACAAATAAACAGAGAATACATGTGAGCAGTAACACCGTGAGGCCTGACCTTGATGTGTCTGTTCATGGCCGTGGACTGTGCCGCTCTGACCAGACCTTCCAGCTCGGCACCGCTGTAGTTCTTGGTCTCCACAGCGAGCTCCTTGACGTCGACGTCTTTGGCCAGCAGGTCGTGCAGACGCATCTTGGCTGTGTGGATGTTGAGGATCTGAATGCGACCCTTTTCGTCCGGTAACCCTGAAAGAAGAGGAGCAAGCAGAAGAGATTGACTAAAGAAAAAAGAAAAAAAAAACTTTCTGTCTTTATTGTCATTCAGAAAATGTATGCTGACCTAAAGTAAGACATTAATCATTGTCTACCTCAAGAAGACATCAAAACAATGCCAGAAATCTTCGATAGTTTTATTATTTTATGTGTTCAGAATGTGTGAGGATTTTCTCTTTCAGATTGAAGCAAGGAAGCAAATGTAAGAAAGAAAGAAAGAAAGAAAGAAAGAAAGAAAGAAAGAAAGAAAGAAAGAAAGAAAGAAAGAATAAAATCAAATGGGACACCAAAATTAAGTGAATTAAACTAAATTAATTTAAAAACAGGACAGAGAAGTTGAATAAAGTGCACACAAACTTATAGAATCATTAAAACTGACTAAAACAGCTAAAAAAAAAAAAAAAAAAAAGACCAGAGTTGAGAAAAATTTGCACCGAAGTGTACGATAAAATAAAAAGAAATTAATTGAAATTTGGTGAATAAAAATGCACGACTTATAGAATAATTAAAACTGACTAAACAGCTTTAAGAAAACGGGAAAAAAATTAGCAACTGAGAGATAAAGGGTACAATTAAATAAATAAAAGGAAATGAATTAAAATAAGTGAATAAAACAGATTTACAGAATCACTATAACTGACTAAAACAGCTAAAAAAAACCACAAAAAATGGGAAAAATTAGCAACTAAGAGGTAAAGTGTACAGTGACATCAAAAAGAAATTAAGAAATGAATTAAAATAAGTGAATTAAAATGCAGACGGACTTATAGAATAATTCTATCTGACTAAAACAGCTAAAAAAAAAAAAAGAAAAGAAAAAGACAAGAGGTGTGGGGTGGGGAAAATTAAGCACCTAAGATATAAATTTTACAAAAAAACAACTGATTAAAATTAAATGAATAAATGTGTGGACAAGTTTAAAACAATTATTTTTACCATTATAATCACTTGTTATAAAACCGCCACATCACAATAATAAAGTAAAAAATGCTCATTCTGTTTAAACTAAAGCAGGAACACCATAAATCTGACTCAACAGTGATATTACTGGTTTATTAGACCTCCACAGACGATCGTTAATATCAAGGCGTCACCTCCTGTGTGAAACCTAACCTGTGTTTTTTTAAACTTCTTACCTATCTCCATCTTCACCTCCAGTCTTCCAGGCCTCAGCAGAGCCTCATCTATCAGGTCGGGCCTGTTGGTCATACCTGAGGGGAGAAAGCAGAGGAGGGAGATGAGATAGAGCGCAGGTGTTCGGGTGTATCTTCTCAGCGGGACACTTTGTATTAAACCAATAGAGAGAGAGTGTGAGCACCTATGACCAGGATGTTGTTGAGCTGCTCCACGCCGTCGATCTTGGACAGCAGCTGGTTGACCACGGTGTCGTGGACGCCGGTGCTGCCCGCCATGCTGCCGCGCTGCTTGCAGATGGCGTCGATCTCGTCAAATATGATGATGTGAAGGCCGCTGTTGGCGCCGAGCTGAGAGGAGGAGAGGAGGAGGATAGATGAATGTGTGAACTGTAAATATGTGCAGTCTGCTGTTATCTTACACCATCTGCTCAGGTCCTCTGATCTCACACGGTGCCAGTGTTGAGCAAATCCTGCTTCTTTATATAGAGAATGCTTAAAAAAAACCCAAAACACTACATTTACTGTCATTTCATAGCATTTCCTGAAGCCTCCAGGTTCCCAAAATACTCGACTTTTTCTGTCTTTTTTTAAGGTCTTAATGTGTTATCAGTCACGTTGCTTCTTAAAACAGTTTCATCTGAGAGCCTTTCATGATTTTATCTGGAGCTTTAATTTCCTTTGAACTGGTTTTAAAAATGTTTTCCATGATCTTTTTACCTTCCTACACCGTACTTCTACATCAAATTGTGTCTTTCAAATTATACGGACATGATGACTATTATTTTGTGTCACTGTAAAGTTCTAATACTTAAATTCTTCTTCTTCAAATCAAAAAAACAAACAATGGCAGCTTTTAAATTTCATTTCTGGTGAAGCAAAACTGGCAATTCATGTAATCAGAAAAAGAAAACTTGAAAACAACGTAAGTCAAGATGCTGTTGCAGTTTTCTGTTGTAACATCAAATGTCGACGGCAAGTACTTTTCAATTTCTACAAAACGATCAAAGATTTGGACTGTTTTAGAAACATCTGGTGTCTCAAAAACATCCTCTGCACTGTAGCTGAAGATCGACTTGAATTGACAGATGTCCTGATGGACTGAACATTACACTGATGTGCCTTTTTAAAGCTTTATGATTGTTGCATTGGCAGCAGTTTTTCCTGTTTTATGTTAAGCTGTACACTTAAGAATGTTATTTAAGTGTTTTTGTAAAAATCTTCTTCTTCTTCTTGAATAAATGTCATTTTGTTTTGCGACATTTCTAGAGGATTTGAGAAAGTTAGCGACCATTAGATTGAACAAAACAGATAATTTGGTGAATAAAACTGGACGAACGAAAGTCTCAAACGCTACTCGTGACCTTTATTATACCATAAAAAATACTATAACAGTATTTTACAAGTTTATTATGACTGAAACGGTGTCCTGACTCCTCCGGTGGAGGCTGATTTGTAGTTTTTGCTCTGACTACATAATAGATTTTCCACCATCAGATACCATAAAAAGCCTGATGATACCACGAGGCGCACGGCATCAGTTTGCACAACATGCCTCCTAAATTGCAGCAGTGGTTTGCAAATTGCAGTGCTTCAGACTGCTAATCGATTGATCGTTCAGCCCTAACTGGCACTTTTCTGCATAAATGTACTGTCAGATATATTACAAACGAACATGCAACTCCTTTGTACGGTCAACCAGCTCCTATTAGAGGCACACATGCACCACACTTTCCTCATAGTAACTCAAGCTGATATTTTCTTGGATTTGATGCAACTTTGCAAGACGACACACATCAGGCCGAAGCTTTTCTTTCATCCGGAGTTGGAAAAACTCACTGCTGACCCTCTAACCTAAGATCCTAAATTGCATCTTGTTGCAGCAACTTGCTAACTGCAGAGTTTCAAATCGCAACTTTGATTTGAAATTAATTCATCGTTCAGCCCCATAAGGCACACAGTGATCTTGCAAACTAAAGTGCACCTCCTTTACATGAGCAACCAGCTCCTATTAGAGGTAAAGATTCACCACACTTCCTTCATAGTAACTAAAATCATGCTAATAGTTTCTTGGATTGCATTCTTTCTGAGATTTGCTGTAACTCCTCAAGACGACACACATCAGGCCGAAGCTTTTCTTTTATCCAGAGTTGAAAAACTCACTGCTGACCCTCTGACCTAAGATCCTAAATCGTACCCTTTTGCAGTGATTTGCAGAATTTCAATTTGCAATTTTGATTTGAAACCGATTAATCGTTCACAGTGATCTTCCAAACAAGTGCTTTACATGAGCAACCAGCTCCTATTAGAGGTAAAGGTGCACCACACTTCCCTCACAGTAACTAAAACCATGCTAATATTTTCTCGTATTCTTTCTGAGATTTGCTGCAACTTAGCATACATCAGGCCAAAGCTTTCCCTCCCTTTCATCCGGAGTTGGGAATCGGTATTGAGCAGCAGGGTGGGGGGTTATCCCTCCATCTGCAGAGCTGTCAGACTCTGACGTAGCATTTAAAGCAGGTGTGGAGCTGCGTGAGTCGCACACTGGATGCTGTGTGTGTGTGTGTGTTGGTGGGGAGGTCTAATAGGAGGTCAGCGAGAACCCAGCCCCTCATTAGGTGGTGCAGAGTGAGGCTTGTGTCACAGCATCCAGACCGACTAGCGCCGCTGGGTCTCCAGCCCCTCCACCGCTCCAGGTTATTACAGCTACGTCTGGCTAAAGGGCAGATCTCTCCACTCCTGCAGAAATTAGTTTTCTCTGTTGCGACGGATGAAATGCTCATCTGTGTTTAACTGAAAACACTGACGTCCAGATAATGAGTTCTCCGAGTTGCAATGAAACCAGCGGGATGCTCGTCTTTGCTTTAGAATCGCCACAACTGCACGGATTAGTAAAACAAAAAAGCTTGCATGGCGGCGTCCTCCCCTCACCCTCTTCTGCTCGTCCTCTGCGTCGGCGAACAGCTTCCTGATGTTCGCCTCAGACTCTCCCACGTACTTGTTGAGGATCTCGGGGCCGTTGACGATCTTTGGCTCGCGGGCCTTCAGCATCTTGCCGATCTGTCGAGCCATCAGGGTTTTGCCGCAGCCTGGGGGTCCGTACAGCAGGATCCCCTTCACATGCTTACCGCCTGCAGACACAAACACAAAGCAGGGAGTGACTAGCTGCTGGTAAACGGAGCGCAGGAGGTTCGGTTTGTTAACAGCGAGAATATTACACACAGCAAAATTCTGCTGATTAAAAAGCTCCTGACTTTGTTAGGCAGAGCTTTAAAAAGAAAAGGGGATTTTAATCTGAAGGCTCAAAATAGTGAGTTGAAAAATGTGGATCAGAAGTTTCCTCAAATGTCTTCAGTTTAGTGTCACAGAGGAACGACACCAGAAAACATTCCCACTGAAGAAGCTGAAGTCACAGAGTTTAGACTGATTGTGATAAAAATGACTCAAACCGATTAATCGATTGTTGGAATATTTGACAACTGATTTATTAGTTGGCAACTAATCGATAAATTGATTCAACGTTGTCGCTGTCCCTCTAAGCAGCTGTGTGGGTCTCAATGCTGACTGGTTAAACTCACTAGAACTGGATTTTTTGCCCAGTAACTTTTGGTTCTGGTCTCTGTTGGTTCCACAGGAAACACAAAGACTGAAGGGTTACAGACCGAAAAGAATCCTGGAGCTGCTTTCATTCTTTTATTCTCTCGATTCATCAGTTCATTGTTGTCAATTAAATGTCAGAAAACGTGTTCTCGAAAACCCAAGATGACGTCCTCGAGTGTCGTCTTTTGTCTAGAATCCAAAATCAGAATTAACTCAAACTGACTGACCCTCTGAACCCCAACATGTTTGAAAACTTTGCTCTTTTTCTGTTTATACTGCCGAAATCACCCCATTTATCCGAGCCAGAAACTGTAAAAACTGATCAAAAAAAAACCTTCCTTGAGCTAATCTTATGTGGGTTTCGGTGGGAAGAATCTGAGCTTAAAATCCTGACATTTCATCAAATTCACTTTATTCTGCACATCTCGTTGAAAATCTGCAGAAAAAAAACTGTTTACTTCAACCAGATTCTATAAAAAAAAATAAAAAAAGGAAAAAATCTGAGCCAAGACTGACTGAGCTGCAACCAACAGCTATGAGACAAAAATGCTGCGACTTTACGGCTGAACTGCAGGATGAAGACAGAAAACAAGTATGAAAACAAACTAAAAACGTAAACAGTTAAATATATGTGTAGTATGTCCTAATATTGGTGACACCTGTGGGCATATGTAAAACGTTGGACATGTTGTTTTCCTTTTTCATACATTTAATAATCAGTTAACTGCGTCACAAACAACATTCCTGAGTTCCCTCTCCTTCTATCATGGTTGGTTTCCACAGAGGTGCTGGACTTGGAAAAATGAGACCAAACAGTGAACAAAAATGTGACAGAATGAAAAAAATAGCTTAAAACAAATTGATGATTTAATGAATTATTGCGGCTCTAACGCAAAGTCGACTTTGAGATATTCTGAAATGTGAAGAAAATCAAAATGACACGCTAATGTTTCATTAAATCTTCTGGTCAATAATAACGCTAAGTTTGTTATCAAGTATATAAAAACGTTTACTTGCATGTGCTTCCATTGTCTTGTGTTGCTTTTACACCTTTTACACATGCTCCTTATGTAACACAACAGCCCCATTTGCTTTATTTATTTGATTTATTGATGTGTATGAATACACACATAAAGTATATATATTTCGTGAACACTTATTTTTTTTCCCTATTTTTTGTTTTATTGAAACTGGATGCAAAACACATTTCACTGCACATTGCATCGTGTATAAATGTGTATGTGACAAATAAAGCTCATCTTGAATCTCTTGCTGTTTGTTTCCTTCATTGCTTTGACTGTGAATTTAACGTAGAAGACAAAAGGCAGCACATTGCCTCCTTTCCTTTATTTTATCTCTCCTCTGCAAGCATCAAACGTGCAGACTTCACTCGGCCGTGTTTACAGCGTGGATCTGTGAATGGCCTTTTGCACCTGTTTGATGACATTTAGCCCGCTCTAATTGAGAGGCCCCAGATAACCATCTACCATTTGGGCGCGCTGAGGGAAAAGCCGCCGCTGACAGCTGGGAGTGGAGCGCTGATGTGGCTTTACGTCGGGCTCTGCTTCACCTCTCCGGCAGCAGAGAGGGGAGACAAGGTGAAACTCCCGGCGTGTGACGTACTCGCGCACGCCGACTCTTCTGTCAGCAGCTCCCCGCGGCTGCCAATTACGGCTTTACCTTTAGCCGGACGCTCTATCAGGATCCGCCATCTCATTACGCAGCCAGCTGGCCGCCGCCAAAGGCCAACTCCCCGCACACCAGCGCCCGGCTAAAGGTCAGCTCGCACTCGGCCGGACACCGCCACAGGGCCTTTTGCGCCGCCGGATGAGTGGAACCGAGTGTGTGTTTGCCAAAGCTCGGAGTCTTTACAACAGGTTTTCACAAGACTTGCGGGTCTAGCAGCGAGGATTAGCACTGATGTGATTGTATGTGTGTGAATGGGAAGGGAGGGGTTTTGTGTATGAGTCACAAAAGGAGACTACACGACGGCTTTCATTAGAACGAGCTTCTGTCCTGTTTGGAAAGTGAAGCATTATTGTAATCTGACAGCTGTCAAAGATTTATTAATGACTGTGTGCAGGGATTTCTGTCGGGGAGGGGGTGGATATCAGGGATTTCAGGCGCCCACGAAGGACACTGCTTCGGCTGTTCCTTCCCTCGTCGTGGGTTTTTTTGCTGATTCAGGCGACGCCGCGTTTCTCAAAGGAATAATTCAGCGTTTTCGTTTGCCGCGATGTTGACTGGAGGCTTAAACGCGAGCCGAACGTAATAACCGAAAACAGTGATTATATTTAGCAGGTATTACTAATCTCTTCAACCTGATGAACGCTGGAGGAGATGTTCTGAGAGAGAAAACAGTGGTTCCACACATGGATGCGGGACTTATTAGAACACACATGAAGCGGGGCGGCCTGGCCCGGGGAGTTTGTGCATCGAACACTTGTTTTTTTGCATTTTCGGTGAATTTTTAAGCACCGATTTGTGACTTTTCTGCAGCAGTTTATGGACGAAACTTGCAGGCAACGATTTAAAAAAATATAACAGATTACTTTTAAATATTTATTCTCCTGTAGATAAACTTCGGCACACATACAGGAATGTTTTACTCATCCGTCCTCTTTTCTGTCTTTTGTTTGAGGACTAACCTCCTCAGCTGAGCGTGCAATTTACCTTTCAAGATGTGTTGGAGCACATTTCAGAGTCTTTCTTGTATTTTTGGTGAGGAATACAAATGCATGTGTTCTAAATATTGAAGGAGCTGCTTCCCCGGTGCCTGAAATCTGGGAAAATTTCGGAACAATCGTGTTTTTCCTGCTCGTTTCAGCTGTTAACATCGGTCATGCACGAACTCTGGAGAAATGTTCTCATAAAAATTTAAAATTAAACGAATATGACATTTCGAAAGCAAACGATTTGTTTGTGCTTTCTGCTCCGACTGAAGATCTTCTAGGATTTATTGCTGAGAAAAGGCCCCGTGAAATCTCCAGCGAGGCACGGCTGAGGCCCGCGTGCTGGACGATAGATTAGAATTGATTGAATTTATTGAGACGACGGCCCCCAGAGACGCAGCATCTCATTGTCGGGGGGGTCCTCGTATAAACACTAATACGAAACACACACAAACATAACTTCATATAACAAACACAGACCTCAGCGATTGAGAGAAAACACAGAAAGCACAACAACTGCATCAGCATCTGGAGAAGTTTGGTTTCCAGTTATCTGCAGCACTAAAGATTTAAAAGCATGAGCATAAAGATGACTTATTGCAAGTTCAAGGTTCAAATGAATCAACACTGAAGCTAATTCTGCTGCACACCGATCTGTACATTTCCCTCCAATGTGCTAGACTTCGGCACATTTGAACAATTGGGTGCACAAATCAGCAGAAATGCAAAAAAAAGTTTGGAGATGTGTTCCTGCAAGACTTTCAGTTATGTCATAGATCTTAAAGTTCTGGACGACTTCTTGTGAAACTCTGAAAGCTGCTGTTGATTGGTTGATCGATACGCTGTCATCCGGCCAAATTCTCATTGGTTGAACTAAAAGCGCTGCATCACGGCCTTCCAGGATTAAATCGCTGTTTTTACCTGTGAACTTCTCCGTGTTTTCTCATCTTTGAACTCCTCGGTCCGACTTATTTAACATCTAGGAAAAATTTAGTCGACTCCAAACCAACCAGCATCACGCTGAAGAAGTCGTCTGCATTTTGTTCGAACTGATGGACAAAAAGCCGACTGTAAACTTTGCAGCTCAACAACCAACACGTCTGGTCGTCTAGAAGCAGCAGCTAACTCGTCTGTGTTTTATTCCTCAGTAGTTCTTGTTTATGTTCTCATGTTCTTATCATCTCAGAACAAAATAACCAAGTTTAAAGTGATTTAATACGCTGCAAATAGTAGTTTTTAGGCTAAAAGGGCTGCAGGTGGAGCGTGCTCAGTAAACTGTGGACTATTTGGTTAATTTCAAGACAATGTGCAGATATATTTTTTTTTCTCCCCGCAATCAATCAATCGGTTGCAGAGTCGGCACAATTTCAGTTGACCAAGATTTTCTTTGGTTTACCACAGCCCGAGCAAGGATCCTGTTATGGATAATTTGGTAAATAAAACCAAGGTTTCATTGCATCACTCGTGGCTTTGTGAAGTTAATAAACCATGAAACATTCACAGAACAGTACTTTAGAGGACATCAGTATAAAGAGAAAGCTCTCCCAACGCAGGCTTTTTTTTTTTTTTTACTTTGGACCTGTATAAGACGGTCAACTGCATCAATAACTGCTGTCAAATATATTGCAAACAAATGTGCGACTGCTTTTACGCGGTCAACCCGAGATTTTCTTCGGCTGACTACGGGCCGAGACGTCGTCGTCCGTCTTGCAGCGAGACGTGGAGGAGAAGGCACGAACAAATGAACAAGTGATGTCAGAGCAGACAAGACAGAAGACGGAGGGCTCACCCATCTGCTCGACGATGTCCGGAGGGAAGACTCGGGAGGCGAAGGCTCGTCGGAAGATGTCGGAGAACTCCTTGTCGAGGCCGCCGATGCCCATCCTCTCAAAGTTCCAGTCCGGGCTGATGATGGACTGGCGAGACTCGCGGGTCTTAGATTTCCCTGGAGACCAAAACAGACATAAAAGCATCACTCACAGGTTGAAAGCTCGACTACAAGGAGCGTTTCTGACTTCCTGTTATGCACTTGTCTGTCATTTTGGGTCCCCAAATCAACTCAAAAACGTTTAACAAAGTGGACGTGAGGGCACAAAAGAATTTAAACTGTACTACAGCGATAATAGTATTGATTTCTGTAATAAAAATAACATGAAGGCAACACTGCAGAAGAGGCAGCCGGCAGTGTTGGAGGAAGCACCGAAAATAATACTGCACAAGTGTTCTAAGTAACAGCTTTTGCTTCAGTAAAAGTATACTGAATTTGCATCAAAGCATCGAAAGAATTGAAAAACAAAACAAAACAATGCATCACTCTGATGCCGCAGCTGTTAAAGCCGATTTTAATGGCGTCATTTAACGCTGGTTAGTCTGTGAATTCCCCCTGAGGATCAATAAAGTTTTTATCTTAATCTAATAATAAGGCGTCACTGCGGGACTTTCCGACAATAATACATCATAATTTATTTGTTGATCGTATCGTTGCATCATTAATCTCAATAAGCAAAGTAATTAAAGGTATCAAGCAAATGTGGCGGAGCGAGGAGCACAACATTTGCCTGAGAAAGAATGGAAATACTCGGGTACAATTAATTCAAAATTGTACTTAAGTACAGGTACGGGAGTAAATGTATTAAGTTACTTAAGACCAAACTTGTGCCAATAATGGTGAAAGCAAAACAAAGGACGATACGTGTGAGCAGTCTGCCCCCTTGTGGATTAATGGAGAATCGCTTCAGACAGCATGTCATTTAAAAAAAACACTTTTCTTTCTTTACAAACGAACACCAAGTATGAGGGGGTTTTTAGCGGTAAGATGTGTTTAACATTTGTACTGACTGAGGACTGAGGTGATGATGATGATGCAATAGTTACTTCAGATTCTTGTTTACCAACATGTGAAAAGGAACAGAGGTCAATAAACATTTTATTCATCCCAGTGGGGAAATTAAAGTATCCAGTAGCTCACACATGTTACAGGTAAGGAAAAAAAACAATGCAAATAGTGCTAATACTCACATGTAATATATAAATACAGAATGAAAACAAAAGGATAAGAAAGGATCCTTGAGTCCCAGGATTATGGCACGATAAGGTGTAAATTGTGGGATTCAATGTTTTAAAAATGGCCTAAAAATAAAGAACCATGTCTGTTCGTGAAACTCACCGATCAGAGTCATGGAGGAGCTCTCTGCCTTCTCAAAAACCACCTGACTGTCTCCCAACAACAGGCCGATTTCAATCTGAGTGGAAAAGATAAAAAAAACATATGGCATGGTTACTCTGATTCAAAAGTTTGAAAAAAAAAAAGTTAAAATCTTAGCAGCATTCAACAAAATTGTGTTTATTAATAATTATAATAAGATTTTCAAGCTATATATATTCAAAATGTACAAAAGATCATGTATGTGTGTGAACATCATGGCACATATTATTCTCCAGCTACCTTCTGCTTCTTTGCAGAAGCATTTCCTGACTTCAGGATGCTCGGGTCCATGGCCTCCATGTCTTTCACCACCAACTGAAACAGCTTGTCGTTGTAACTGAACACCAGCTACAAAAACAACACAGGAATAAATTGTTAATTCTCCATTTTAAAAAAGTGATGAATTTGAGTGATATATGCAGTTTTTTCCCCCCTAAACTGTATGTCCATCCATCCATTATCTATACACCGCTTAATCCTCACTAGGGTCGCAGGGGGCTGGAGTCTATCCCAGCTGACTCAGGGTGAAGGCAGATTCACCTGGACAGGTAACCAGTCTATCACAGGGCTACACTTAGAGACAGACAACCAAGCACACTCACATTCACACCTACGGACAATTTAGAATCACCAATTAATCTCAACATGTTTCTGGACTGTGTGGGAGGAAGCTGGAGAACCCGGAGAGAACCCACGCTGCACGGGGAGAACATGCAAACTCCAAGCAGAAAGATCCCGGGGCGCGAACCGGCGACCTTCTTGCTGCGAGGCAACAGTGCTAACCACTGAGTCACCTAAACTGTATGTGCATAAGTAAATACAGTCGTCCTCAAATGTATTCAAACCCTTCCATTACAGAAAAGGCAAAATTCACAACAGTCAATAACTAGAAACTGAAAAAAAGTAATAATAAATAGAAATTTGTTAAATTATCTTTTAGTGAAATGAGATGTTGCTTTTGAATTGTGGTTGAAAAAAAGAATTTTAAAAAACAAAAAATTGTCCCGGACAAATTAGAGCACTTTGCTGATGAGCAGTGGGCCAGAATCTAAACACCTGTCAACAGGTGCAGAAATCTGATGGAGAGTTACAGAAAACACCTGATGGCAGTGATTGGCTCAAACGGTTTACGGGTCCCATCATGCTCGTTTCTGTTGAACCACAATTCAAAAGCAATGTCATGATTTTCATTAATTTTTTATTTATTATTACTTCTCAGTTTCAGCTTATTTCAGTGACGGCTGTTTGTTTTTTCCTTCTTCAATGGGCGGGTGTGAATACATTTGAGGACGACTGTAGGTCTTCTCCAGCTATAAATCTGAAGTTATTAATTCTGCTAAACTGTACGATAAACTGGAGTTGCGTTCTTAAAGCCCAGAGACCTGCTGGCCGACGGTGAACGCCTGGTTGTTGAAGCGAACAGTGAACTCGCCCGCCATCTTGTCCGAGTCGTAGGGGTTGCTGTCGGCGTTCTTCTTCTGCAGGAAGTCGATCTCCATCGTCATGCTGCTTATGCACTGCTTGGACTTGTCGAAGTTGTAGTTGGTTACTGCAGCGGGGAACAAGCAAACGAGGAGATTTACGCACATTTTTGCAAATTTTTTGCACACTGCACAATCCCTATGTTGCATATTTTGCACATTGCTTATTACAAACACTTTACTACCTTTCTCCAAGTGTTGTCATCGTTGTTGTGCCAGAAATGCTTTATGTTTGGTGTTAGATGTGCTGCAGGATCGATCAAGCATCCATCTGTCTATGTGTCATTAACCTGGATCATCATAATACGATAGTTCAGGTCCTTTTACGCTGAATCAGGCAGCGTACAATGTGCTTTATCAGAACTTTTATGCTGAAAAACGATGAACCAAAACCACGTGCGCTCCAAAATATTGTGCTATTTTTGTCATGCACTCGATTACTCAGTGCCTTCATCCTCATGGATGATCAGTAAAATTAGGTTATTATTGATGCATGATTCATGCATGAGGGCGACTCAGAAGGCCTTTTTCTTTTCACATATGCCAGATAAAACACTTATCAGGGGCCTGACGCGTCGTGTCGCCTTTCTAAAACTAAAAATATTCATCTGCAGTTTCTAAATAGGTTAAACAGCATCTGTCTCCCTCTGGTTGCCTGATGTCTTCACGCCAGGAATATGAACATCAGCAGCTACTTTCAATCTGTTTTCTTCACTCTTTTTATAATTTATATTCTCATTCACAGGAATATAGACGAATAAAAGCTAAATCGAGTGCTTTAAAAGTGTAGCTGTCGTTCCTAAGCATTAAAAAAACGTAAAAACAGTCACAGTGTCGTTTTGTGTGGTTTAAAATACTGATTTGTGCAACTCTTAAATGTGGGTTTAAATATGCAGAATTGTGTGACATCCATTTTACTTTGTATTTCATTATTACCACTATTTTACTCATTTATTAACCTAAGAAGCTTCACAAAAAGATATTCTGCAGCCTTGAATGCAACATACTAACAGAATACTACAGTCCATCCAGATGAATGGCGTGATCTACAAGTAGGGGTGTCGAACTCCAGTCCTCGAGGGCCGCAATCCTGCATGTTTTAGATGTTTCCCTTCTTCCAACACACCTGATTCAAATGATCAGGATCGTTGTCAGGCTTCTGCAGAGCTTGATGATGAGCTGATCATTTGAATCAGGTGTGTTGGAAGAGGGAAGCATCTAAAACATGCAGGATTGCGGCCCTCGAGGACCAGGATTGGACACCCCTGATCCAGGACATCTATGGTTTCATTATGTTCACTTAATCGCCAACTAAACAGCAGGTTCTGAGCTCGTTAGCACATGTGGAGAGGCAACCGCATCAGTAAGTGGCTTGTTAGCAGCCTGTTAAAATCCAACGTCGACTCTTTTAATCCTTTAATGTGAAAAAAAACTGAATGTGAAACACAGCAGGCAGCTCCTGAAGTCAACACGATCCGCGCTACCGTTTCATTTCTCAAACCGTCTGGAAGTTGTCGGACTGCTGCTAATGGCTCATTATGGAGATGAGATATCTATATATAAATATATATATATATATATATATATAAGATTGTGCTGATACAGTATTCCCACCGCTGCCAGGTAATTAGGCAAATTACACTCACAATACCTCCGCATTAATCAAAGCACAGCTACCAGGAGGTGCTGCTCAGAGCTTCTATCCATTATGGAAATGATCCTAATTGTTAAACATATAGAAGGTTTAGACATGAAAAGAGAGACATCATGGCTTTAATTAAACAGTAAGAACTCGTGGCTGTGTGTTTTATTACACCTGCTCCACTGCTACTTTGCACCACTGTATATGTTTTTTTTTCTGCTCAGATGTGTAAATTCTTGTATATATTTGTTATCTTATTTTATTTTTCTTTCTATAGTTATTTTACTTTTTTTTGTTTTATTTTCCTAGCGCTCATTCCCAGAGCGACGCCAACAGCTGAAACTAAATTCTTTGTATGTTGTGTAGGTACTTGGCCATTAAAGCTGATTCTGTCACTTTTTTATTTTATTTTTTTCTAGTCGTCACTATATTGCACTACTGCCAGTGTGCACAGGTTGATTTTTATATATTTTATTTTATTCTATTTATATTGTATTTTGATCCTTTTTTTAATAAAACATCTATGGCACTAAGGCGAGCTTTTCCTCTGTGTGTCCTGGATATATAGAGAAATTGACAATAAAAATCTATTTCATCTTATTTTTCACTGCAATGTAAAATCCTGCATCTCTATGGAAAAAGCACAACCACTGCTAGAAGCAGAGCGAACTCTAAAATGTCTTCTGAATTTACTAACTTGAATTTAATTGACTATTTATTTTACAAAAATTAGGAAAATGTGGCATCAACATGTGCAAACTTGTCCACAGAGGTTACCAACAACATGGTGGCTCTGCATACGAGAGATATTTTATTTTAAACATTTTCACAGCCTCTACAAACGAGGGTTTTTTTCCACACCGAACACTTGACCTGCTTTATTTTATTTTGCAATTTTGGCATTGGAGCTGCATCTAGGAGCGCACAATTGAGGTGTTTTTGTTGTTTTTTTACTGAACCTGGTGCAAACTGTTGATTTTTGGCTCTTTTTTTTAAACGAAATGTGCAGAATGAAGAGATTTTAACGTAGCTAAAGTGTAGATTTAGTTCATTTTTCCAACTGCATGTCAAACACGGATGGTTCAAAAACAGCCAAATATTAGATTTTCTTTGTTTTCGCAGTTTCGAGCTCGAATAAATGGAGCGATTTTGGCCATTTTTTCAAAAACACAACATGCCTCTCAAGCCCCGGCGGCAAGTTTCACAGGTTCAGAGGGTTACAGTATGACAAAGCTTATTCATTCTCCAGTCGGTGGATTACATTTTGCATTCCTCCTTTTCATTCCTGAAGTGAAGACAGTGTGATAAAGGTGTGCATCATTTTAGGCATCGCTGTGGCCTAAGGGAGCTGAGCGAAATAATCATCAAAGAACAAGCCTTCACCTTCTCTGGACGCCGGCCAGCACTTCAGACAGACGTGCAGCGCCGCCGCCCACGCATATTGTCACGGTGTCGGTCCGTCTGCGGGGTAAATCGTGTTCCCTCCACCCCACATGACACCTGAATAATAGCTAAGCACCTGAACCTGCCCAATAATTAGAAATCGACGACCATCAGAAGTCAGCAGAGAGAAAGTCTGCAGCCTTTAAAGTCGGTCACACGTCTGACGTTGGAGGTGCTTGTGTTTCTACTGTGGCGAGGTGTCCGTGACTCAAACGGCAAAGAGACAAAAAACCTGTCCTGCTAGTCAATAGATCACCAGCTAAAGGGAAGTCTTAGAGAAATCAGTCTGGACATACAAGTAAAGTGCTGCTCATCTGTTACCAATAGCAACAAGCAACACATTTCATATTTTATCCTAATTTATATTCATTTAATTTTTATTAGCTGCATCTTAAAATATTGTGTTTTCAAAGTACTAAGCTACTCTGTTTTTTTTTTTTTACTGGATGGGACTAGAGTTTTTGTATTTCTAGTATTTTCTGCTGCTGTTTGTTTTAGGGGCGTCTAATCTGTCCTGTAAGAACCAAAAAAGTATTCACACCCGTTACCAAAGTAAAACTGTTCACAAGCAACCTTGCAAACCAAGACTTAAAAGGAAATCTATATTATAAAAAGCTATTTGTTTGTACCGCCATGAAAAGCTAAAGGTTTATCAGTTTGGGGGGCAAACTTGTGGATTAATCTGGATGATGAAGCTTTTTCTTGCAAGCTGATCTACTTTATATCATGTGATACACCATCGAGAAAACCTGTAAAAATACTTTATTGCCATTAAGTAGTCGTCCTCTAGTTAAGACAGTTTTTTGTTGTGAGCTTTTTTATTTTGGTTTTACGACACACAAACCTTGTTTTCAGCCTTAGACAGTTTGTGGACTACCAATTACTGGAATTTATTGTCCATTTTACGACCATAATTTACAAAAAAAATAACATCATGCTGCAGTGAAACAGACCTGAAACAAGCGACTGAGACCACAAACTCATCAGGTAACAAGTCAGGTGAGCAGCATTCCCTCATAGACTTCTACACAAGCTGACTTGCTGCAGCCAGACGAGTCGCCCCCTGCTGGCTGTTAGAGAGAAACCTTCCCTTTTTTAGACCTGGAGGCTTTGCTCATCTTTTATACACAATCTACGCTTCATGCAGGAGCAGTTTCGAGAAAATAAAAAGCAGATGAATAGTTATTGTCTCACCTTCGACCTCCTGTCCAATCGATAGTCCCGCCCATTTTCTCTGCAAAGAAGAAAGATCCTTAAGTCTTAGGACACATTGAAATATAAAAAAAAAATCCAATGACATTTTCCACAAAGCTACCAAACAGAACACTTTAAATTCACATCATTACACGTTTCACGGTGCAACTTTCCTCTGCGACGTCGTCTTATTTCACAGCACTGAAATACATCTTCAGTTGACTGTTTGTATTGGAGATGGAGGGCAGTGATGGCTGCCAGTCAGTCCATGTTCATCTAATGAATTGTAAAATAAGAGCGTCTGGAGGAGGTTGCAGTAGTACCTGTGTGCGGTTGTGGCTGCCGAGTTTACAGACGGAGGAAGAGCAGGCAGAGACAGGCAAAGGTAAGAGAGGAAGAAGAAAAAAAAAAAAGCAGGAACAGACAGTTTGAGACAAACAAAGAGGTTCCATGCACAGAGCAACAACGCAGGACGGCTCGTAAGAATCAGGTCACGAGACAGTGAGCGATTTGGTATTTCATGTCATAAGCAACAGCGAGAATGATTGTTTAATAGATAAGCAGAAAAACATTTTTAGTCTTTTTCACAAAAACTGCAGCGCTCGTCAAACGTCGGAGCTCACCTGTGGCAGGCTGAAGCCGATGGTCCCGGAGTTCACGCTGGGATGTTTCGTCAAGGTGAACACAAACTTGTGGGTCACATTGCGAACAATCACGTGTCTGTATTGAGACGAACAATTGGAAGACAGAAGAAACATTGAGGGATTTTTTTAAAGGAAAAACATTGGGGAGAGCTACCGATATCGATATTTGGTCCTAACTGTCATTCATAACAAGACTCCTTTACTAAGGGTGTTGATAACTAAATATTTAGCTGCAGTGCTTATCGATAATGACCGAAAGAACAAGATCGCGGATACAAGCGGCCGAAATGAGTTTCCTCCGCTGGGTGGCCGGGCGCTCCCTTAGAGACAGGGTGAGGAGCTCGGAGTAGAGCCGCTGCTCCTCCACATCGAAAGGAGCCAGCTGAGGTGGCTCGGGCATCTCAACGCCTCCCTGGGGAGGTGTTCCGGGCACGTCCCACCGGGAGGAGGCCTCGGGGAAGACCCAGGACACGTTGGAGAGACTATGTCTCTCGACTGGCCTGGGAACGCCTAGGGGTCCCCCTGGAAGAGCTGGAGGAGGTGTGTGCAGATCGGGAAGTCTGGGTGGTTTTGCTAAGGCTGCTGCCTCCGTGACCCGACTCCGGATAGGCGGGAGAAGATGGATGGATGGATGGATGGATGGATGGATGGATAGATGGATGGATGGATGGATGGATGGACAGTGCTTATCGAATTTATTAGACCACCTGTGACTACACTTGATGTCTTTCCCTTTTTGTCCCGGAGATCATCCAGCATCATGAAGCGCTTTAATTCGCACTCAGCTCTCCACGTTTTTTCCATTTTGAACAGGAATTTCAAACTGAACTCACCTTTTTATGCCCAAATCTGAGCCAGAAATCAATCAAGCACAACATTCAAATACTAAAACTAACTTTTCTCTCCAGGAAGGCAAGTAAATAACTAGAATTTGACGACTTAATCAAGGAATAATAATGTACTTTACTGTTTTTGTGGGGGGGGGGTTTGTAAAACAGTAAATTTGAAAATCCAGGGATAACAACAATAATAATTAGACTTTAGCATTACAGAGCTTCTACATACTGGTGTATTAACCATTACAGAAAGGATTTTAGTCATGACCAAAGCTGTTCATTTAGCAGCTTACACTGGGTGGTGGTTTAATAAATGTGTGAAGCACTGTACATCTGCTCTGTTTTCTTAATGTTTCTCTGTTCTGTCACTTTAATTGCCCACTAATGTCCAGATCTTAAAGCATTGTTATTAATTAATGTTTTCCAGACTATGTTTCGGGGTAATTTGTGGTTTAGCTGCTAGCCGTTAGCGTAGCCTTAGCCACCATAAGAGCAGCTAACTTCTTGGTGTGTTGCTTGTGTTTCTTGGTCAGTTTTTGCTCGAGAGACATTTCTGAGACCACAGAGTGACGACAGACAGAGAGAAGAAGCCGCATCAGACCTGAAGTATTTAATTTAGCAATAATGTGCCAATACAAAAAAAAAATGACACTGATAATCGGAAAAAAAAAAAAATATCGGCCACGATCATCGACCAGGATGATAATTGGTCTATCCTTAGAAAAAAGTGGTACCTGCTTTTTGCTAAAACCTACTAAAACTAAAAAATATACAATAAAAAACAGAATAACGACTTAAGTTAATAAAAGCCACCAATTTAGCTCTGATGCAGCCGCCGCTCTCCATCCTGGGTTTCTCCAATTGTGGCTAAATTTCATCAAGAATGGCACATTTTTGTTAATGAAATGGTCAGAAATAAGAGGAAAGCTGTAACGCTGGCCTGCTCTGACCACATTGGTCAATATTAAAATACTATGTGCAATAATCTGATCGTAACATGAACACAATCATGTGCAACAATAACTGCTTCCTGTACAAATCTTGCGCAACATCACGTCAGAGGTGCAGCACACGTTGACAGCATTTTCATCTCTTTTATCTGATTTTTGTAAACATACATTATTGTTTTATTGTCAGTCCGTACATTCTTTGCACTATTCTTTTACTTTATATTATTTTTTTGCGCTCTTTGCACTGTAAAAGGATCCAGTTTTAATACACTTGTGCAATGTGTGTTCAAAAATGGAAAGATTTCTATCAAATAAGGAAACAGATTACTGCTGATCATGCTTCCTGTTGCATGTAGCCAGATGACTGCCAATGCGTTTGTTTGTTTCCATGATTTGAATACAGTGACACAACTAACGTGTGCAAAAATAGAAAGGCACAAAATAGATGAATACACAAGGAAAACTGCATGAAATAGCTCACGAGGCCGATGGAAGTGAATCCCACTCATCGGTCGACCGACAACCTCCGCGCAGAAACACACAAATCACAGGACGTCCCACTCACTTTTCAAACTGCTGCTGCTCCTTGTCGTTGATGACAACACAGTTGGTCAGCGACAGCTCGTCTGTGGGGCATCGAGCCGCTTGCATAATCTGAGAAGACAGTAGAAGAAACGGCTTTTCTTAGAGGCGTGTGATGTTGTTGACTTGGCTCTTCATTTTACTGTCACACAAGACACAAACAACAGCCGATTTCAAGAGAATCTTTGGGAGAGAAACGGCAACAAAAAGGTCATTTTTCTCATCGATTACTTTCAATGCTGCAGCTCTAATTTAAACAATGTGGGGTTTTAAAAGCTGCAGCTTCAAATCTAGTTAAGCAGCAACACGCACAGTTTATGGTAGAAAAGGGGCCAAAGTTTCCCCGTCTATACTGTCAAACCTGTAACAGTGGATAACAGTTCACAGCATGTACAGTCCATTAGCGTGGATCCTAACGCTGCTGCAGAGGACGGCAGGTTGTCGAGGTCAACGCTCTCGAGGCTTCGCTCTCACTCCCACAAAACCACCGTTACATGCGTGTTGCTATGGTGATTTGTTTTATTGTTTTACACCGAAGAAGCCTCTCTATAAACTCAGCCTCCTCTGTTTGTAACAATCGTTAAATATCCCGTATTTGGTTAAATAAAAGCTTCCATCAGCGCTGCAATAAACGTAAATGAGATTAAATCGTCAGAGTCTTGTTGTGTTTTTTTCTACACAATACGATGCAGTACAGCGACATTAAATTACTATTATGGTGCATATTGTGGTGTTTCGTGATCCGACCCATCTCTGCTCAATCTTACTAACAGTGGTGTAAAGTAACTAAGTAAATTTACTCAAGTACCGTCCTGAAGCACAGTTTCAGATACACTTCCTGCTGCTTTGTACCTGCACTGATATATCGTAGTTTTGACTCCAGTACATGTATTTGCTACCTGTATTTGCTAGCTACTTTATAGATTTAGTGCAATAATACAGAATATAATGTAAGAAATAAATGACAGTGTAATATCATAGATTAGATTAGAGCTGCAGCGATTAATCGATTAGTTGGTTGAGTCAATTTTTAAAGAAAAAATGGATGAAAATCATTCGATCCCAGCTTTTAAAATGTGAATATTATCTGGTTTCTCTACTCCCCTCTGACAATAAACTCAATATCTCTGGGTTGTGGACAAAACAAGACATTTGGGAGACAATGACAGGCGTTTTCCACCATTTTCTGACGTTTTAGACCAAACAACTGATGGAGAAAATAATCAATATATTGGTCGTTAGCTGCAGTTGTCCCTTTTATAGATTAATATAAAATAAGCATGTGTTGATCCCCAAATAGAATTTCACCAGTTAAATCACTTCAACATGACAGTGATGAACAAATTAATGCACCAATAATCATAATCCGATATTATAACACAAATTAATTTGAAAAACTATTGCTACTGTACTTTCACTTCAATAAAAAAAATAAAATGAATGCAGACATTTACTCAAAGCAGAGTGTTTTTGCACTAGTGTACTGGCACTTGTGCTTTAGTAGAAGATCTGAGTGCTTCTTCTGTCTCTGCTAACTAATAAAAAGGGTTGCACATGCAGAAGGGTCTCAGGTTTTTGTCGGGTTATGTTATAAAGTCATGCACTGCAGCTACACCATGCTCACTGTTGTACTTACATGTATGAAAATGTTTCAAAAATAATAATTCCATCTGATTTAATGGTGCAGTGTTGGGTTAAAAATATCACACAAAACACAATCAAGTGTACCTTCAGTGAAACGAGCTCATACACAATACACATATCTACCTTCATGTAGGTTTAATTTCACTTGAACCTGAGCGATCACGTCTGACAAGTTGGTTTTAACGACCTCACAGCTATTTAAAGGCTCATAAATTGGGAAAACTTTCCTAAAGGCTGACACATTATTCATATCTAGAAAGAAGCTGCAGCTCTTCGACCTCTGCTCTGCGCTGGAATAAATCATCCGTGTGCTTCATTGCCTCATGCAGAGCAGCTCAACAGACAGCTGCAAATCATCACGACTGTTGCAATACCGTTTGATAACAGTCAGGCGTACGCTGTTAGCTACCGGCTGGGTGAATCAGCATCCCCACAGCTGTGGTAGTGAAGGAAAGCAAGAAACTTCACGATGCACTGTGATGAAATTCTATGTAAAGGTTCAGCTGGGCGTAGCCTTCAGTCAGCCTGCACAGCTCCAGTGTGGACCAAATAATCAATAAATAATTTGTTTACTGTGAAACTTTGGCTGCTTTGGACCATCGTCTTGCTGTATTACAAAACTT